CTTTCATGTTCGTCCTTATTTCAAAGTAAACTGTCATCAGTAATTTTTGCATTTAAAGTTGTAGCCATAAGTTTATCCTCTGTTTTAAAAAAAACGCCACTGTTGTTTATCATAACACTGTTTTAGACAGCTTCTGTTGTTAAAGGTTTTCGATAAGAGCAGTGATAGAATTAGTGCAGAACGGCTTGTTTTTTTTTAAAGAAAATGCTTCACAAAATTTTGATAACCTGTCAAAACAATGACCACTATAAATCACCTCAAGGTCACAGTAACCCGTCACACTAGTGTAAAAACTAGTTTAAATTTAATTCCAAAATATGTAAATATGTCTTGGATTATTGATGAGAATAGACATTAACTGAAAGCGAATTCAGTAGTTTCAAAAATTGATCAAAAGTTAGTTGCTGGATTATTTAACGTTATGTTGGTTCACTTTCGGCTTGTGTGCATGTTGAATGTTTTACTGTCTTACAAGAAGTAGTAGTCTATGCCTGACGGACATGTTATGCACATATATTTAATTACTATTTTGTTGTTCATGTGAGTACCTTACTGAAGTCCAATATTGAAAAAAAACTATTCCCGTTGTAGAGTTTAAAAGAAATTTATTCTTATAGTCATAGCATCAAATAAAAATACAGCTCACAAAATTTTAAATATGAGTAATTAATATATTTTTTCACGTGATGGATACTAGCGTTTGTATTTAGGATTTCTCAGTTAGATGTATCTATATGCTAATAAATTATGGCGTTCTTATGGTGACTAGAGTCGATTGTCTGTCATTTTAAACTGCACTAAACTATTGAGTGAGAGACTCAAGTCCCTGTGAAAAAAAATTGTCACAGTAAGATGGAGGTACATCCGACTGAGAAGAACTAATACGCCTCTTATTACTTACTAAATCTAGCTGTAAAGTCCGTATGCCAACGGAAATCGTTAAATTGGCCTAGATAAAATCATAATCTAAAATTCACAAGAACTTAAAATAAACAATCCACTTCCTTCATTCCTTATACATGTGGAGTTATTTTCATTTTATATGTCGAAAATATATCCAATTAGCTGGTAAACATCAAGTTACCAGCATGTCTTTCAGTGTGGTAATGTTGGTAGATATAATTGTTAGCTAGTTCACAACATATCATAGGTCTGGAATTTTAATCGGTAGCAGTTTAGCTGTACGTTTTGTTTGTGGTGAAGTTGACGGGTCCATAGCGTAGCAGTTAGATATTGGATCTCACATATACGTCTTTGATTTAACATATGAAAACGTCGCTTACCTTACTGTACAAAGTTAAGCAGAATACAAAAGTCTGAATAGGTCAGTAAGGTGATGACAATGAGTCATGCTCTTTGATGTAATCAAAAGTCGACAAATAGTCTTCTCATGTTAACTTTAACTGTGTATATAAATTGAATTATCTACTGAAGATGTTGCCTAGTAAGTCAATGAAGGCTTCGCAGGTAAGCTATTCAGCTCAGAGAACACAGCTACATCAAAATCATCAGTCTGAGCTACAAATCTTCTTCATTACATACAAATTTCCATGTGTCTTTGGTATCAGTTACGTTGGGAAAACAGAAAGGAGGGCATAACTCTGATTTTCTGAACATATACCAAAGAACCTACGTCTCAAGGGAGCAAACGCTTATGATAGTGCCCTTGCCAGACATCCCATCAATACAGGTCATAAGGTGGACGTAAAGAAATCCTTTAGAATTGTCAAATTCCCGAAACCCGATTTATGTATTCGGAAAGAAACAGTTATCAGTCTTTCCTTCCCCTGGTAGCTGGATTTCTTTATTCTGTCCCATTTGATTACATAATCTTTCCTTGAAACCCCTCCCTCCTTTGCTTTAGTTTAACTTTGCATGTCTTACGTTGCTATGGTTTGACTTGAACCTACTATATTGTTACTCAGTCTGTAGTTTACTCAGCTTATTTACTACCTGTCTGCATTACGTAACTCTTTTGCCAGTGTATCCAAGCCTTCATTTTTGTTTAAACTTGAACTTTCTGGGCATAAATTATATAAGTGTAATTTCTGAGCACCGTTTATTAAGTTTGGAGTCTCCTGTCACCCGACATTACGTGACATTTGCAAGTATATTGAAATTGTTCTTTACATAAACTCAATAATTTCTTTAGGCTGTACGCAGCTGATGAGAAGCCAACGAAATAAGTGATGATACTATCCTATTCTGCACTAACTGTTGTGTTCTTTCTTTATTCAAATCTAACTGATACATTTTAGTAGAGTATGAAAACTATGAGTAGTAAAATAGAAGTCATTAGTATGCAGTTATTACCTTTATTGCAGATGCAGTGATCAATAAAAATCTTTTCTACACTAAACACTGCATTGCTTAGTATTTTTCCACCTTCTTTCTGTGTTTCTGTTTTCATGCACATGTAACTATTATACGTTCTGTTCCTTTTTTACGTGGTAATATTCTGTGAATTCATGTTTATGGGTTTAAAATAATTCAAATAAGTAGGCGGAGTTGTTGTTTTTTCTTAATGATGTATCTTGTCTTATGAACACTGAAATATTCTTGGAAGTTTTCTGTCTGTGTAAATCACGTGAGGCTGTTCATTGGTTCCCTGACAAAACACTATATTTTCCACTATTAGTAAATGACTAGTACTATCAGTAAAAAAAAGTATTTTCTGGGGAAAAATTAAAATGCTTACAGTGATATTTTAAAGTTTTCTTCAAAAGAAAAGTGGAAGAGAGAGATGTATAACTAAATATATATTTCTTCGTACTCTTTACAGTTTACTTTCCAATCTGTGTACATACCATTTTCCATAAATAATCCAATCATTTTTATTGTTTTGTGCACTATAACAACAACTTACACTTACTGTTACATTAGTACATTCGTTCACAGTTTTAACAGGTATTGACTTATTCTAGCATGTATAAGTTTTTTCTCTTACCGTTAAAAATAAATGACAAGCATACCTCTCCCAACTTTTTTTGTAGTCAGTTTTCTAAGCAGTTACTTTCCACGCTTATAAAAACGACCTAACACCACGGTTTGTCTCATTATTGCTCACCATGTTAATGCACCCAACGCGAGCAATTAAATAAATATACGTATAATAAAAGACCTATAATCGTTTCATTCCTTCTGCTTTCAGCGATCTTGTGTAAAAATCATAAATAAGTAGAACAGAGGTGATCTTTTCTTGAATAGCTGTCTGTCGCTAGCACCAGGAATTACGCAGGCTGACAAATACTTCAGTATCTCTTCCCATTCATGCTGAAATGTCGTCTGCAAGTAGCTACTGAATAACTAGTGTAGCTGAAGCCTACGACTACTTTTGATCCTCAAAAAATTAATTGATCTAGATCATTTTTTAAAATATTATCTTACATTTGACATTGTGGCAAATATCCGTGAATTATTAAAATATTTGCGTGGAATACTCATATGCTTGTATGTTATCATTGTGCAGTACTTTATGTTTTGCGTACTATAAATAAACTCCCCACTCCCTTGGTTTATTCCTGATGGGTGTGATGGTAGACACAGAGGCATAGTCATAATAACAATCAACAGAAATTATTTCATCAGTCTTCGCTGGCAGATAGTGTTGGATGTTGCCATGGGCTCTGAAGTGGTTACGTCATCCCAAGTTGATTAGCGTAATATATTTTCTTGTTACTTCCTTTCTGCCTTGTTTTTTCCACTGGTGATTCATATGAAACAACAATCTTCTGTCAGTATTCCCCATCAATAAATTGTGAAGAAATAATCCATCTTCGTCTGTCATCGGCTTGATCATTATCTCCGTGTTCAAGTTAGTACCAATATGACTACCCTTCATTCCAAAACTTTATTTCATGAGCTGACAATGTCTTGACTTTTTTCAACCAGTCCAAAAGTTGTCAGACAGTATATAATTTTGAAAATCTCTGGGATGACACAAGTTTGGGTCATCAAAGGTGGTATTCTAAGGTGCTATCACTTTTTTAAAGATCTCCACCTTGTCAAGACATTTGTTATTGGACGTCAGGATTATTACATGATGACGTCACCGAATGCTAGCAGTTTCATAGAAACATCAATGATGGAATACAGAGTTATTGTATATCCTAAGCTCAGCAAGGCAGGGTCTCACCAGCGTAAGGTGAAACTAAACACACCAAGACGTTATAAGCCGGAACTTTAACAACTAAATCAGCTTCGAGACAGCTCTAGAAGGGACACAAATTGGTATGCCTTGTTCCGGCTCTCATTGAACTCTTAAGAATTTAATTCATCACACCACCTACACTTATACAGCTAGCTACATAAACATACTTTTTAGCCAACTCTAAAAGTTCAGCCCCACTTATCCATGTTAATTGTGATTATAGATGGCTGTCTGTCCTCAATCTTCCTGAAGTGTTTTTAAATAGGGCTTTGAGGATGCTGATTAACTTCTTAGACATACTTCTTTCTGATAAGTTATTCTGGAAAAATATATCCATCAAACCGGTCGAGGACGTGTTTTATGCCAAGAAATATCACTATGTTATAGCAACTAATCGAGGGTGAACACATGATCCATGTCTTGGATGAAAACCCTCATGCTCTTTAAAAATTGGATTCTCAGTCCTTGTGTAATATCTGTGAATCATTACAGCAACAGGTATTTTTGTCGCTACTGATATGGGACTAATATCCCAATGTTTGTCACATATATTACGTAGGTCCTTTTTAAAGTTAGTTAACATATTGGCCTTATTTCGGAATGATGAAACACTCCTTCTCCTATGCTTTCGTAATTAACCAAGTCAGTTCCCCAACTAGCCTCACCACCATCTTTGAAAGTAGCTGGAGATAGGTTGTTTGGAATGGGTGTTTTATTGCATTGGAAGTATAAACCCATGAGTCCGACTTGAGTCAAGCCCAAGAACAATGAAGCTGGAAAGCAACTTATGATTATTGCAAGTTGTTGCAAATGTTAATTGATATTTTTTAATCTTTTGTTTGTTGTTTAGTTACTTTTTAGATGATCATTGGAGGTACTTTGTAACTTGTTCAAAATAATATTAAAAAGTACCAAGTTGAGCAAATCAGAATACGAGAAGAAATCCTTTTCATTGTTCGTATGCTTAAATTTGATAAATAGAATTAGTAATCACTATTTCTGCAATCATTATTACTACTGTCTAATATGAGTTCAGTTTGTTACTACAAAGTTCTTGGATTAACACAAACAGCTACAGATGAAGAAATACGTCGTGCATATCGTCGACTAGCACTTAAATGGCATCCAGATAAAAACCCAACTAACTTAGAAGAGGCAGAGAAAAAGTTTAAAGAAATCAGTGCAGCCTATGAAGTTTTATCAGATCCCCAAAAACGTACTATCTACGATCGTCATGGTAAAGACGGCTTAACTCGTACTAATGTGAAATCATCGAAACAAAGTGGTGGAAGACGTCGACATACAGCATCTGGAAATTTCTTTCATGAAGACCTTTTTGATACAAATGAATTCTTCTTTCCATTTAATGATTTTGGATTTACTTTTCGAGATCCTGAAGATGTTTTCCGCGAGTTTTTCAGTAAGCATGTTCATATGATGAATGCATTTATGGATACAGCCGGACTATTTCGGTCGCATAATCATCTACACGGTATATTTGATCATGACAGTTACTTTCATGAAAAACCTAATCGCCATTTGCACCATAAAACAAGCTATGGATCAAATAATGATAGTCAAACAAAAACACATCATGTTGAACGTGTACGCAAAACCAGTTGTCCTCAACCCGTACCAGTGCGTAGTTTATCTACAAAGACATCCTACAGTTTCAGTTATGGTGGTAGTCGACCTGGTCATCCACCAGTTAGAAAAGAAACATTTCGATCAACATCAACAAAAATTGAAAATGGAAAGTGTGTTACCACACGAAAAATAGTCCAGGATGGTGTAGAAACTGTAGAAGTAGAGGAGGACGGTATATTGAAATTGAAAACTGTCAATGGTCGACCTGTTGCTATTACCAATGGCTAGTAAATCCTGGTAATAACGTTATCTGTGAAATATGGTGGTTTACTTTCAAATTCGTTTTTGGAATGTGCTTATGTAATACATCACTTTTATACTAATAATTGTTAATACAATTCATTATTATCCTCCTTTCTCAAATCAAGTAAATATCTGCAGTCATTAATAATGTCATTATTACTACTTCAGATAGCACAACCTTTTTTGTGTCGAATAGAAACTTCAATATTCATTTTCAAATTTCGCTGTCTATGTGTTACATCCTTTATCTCTGTTGCATTCTACTGTTGCGCCTAAATTCGTTTATGGCGCGAAACACATGTTACTTGTTACTTTCTTCCTTGTGATGTTTCTTTTTTTTCTGTAGTGCATTTCTCTGTATGTTTTTTATCTTCTTTCGCCGTTTCCTTCTTAGCTAAACAATCCACCTACTTACTGCAGCTTTCTTCGTCTTCATTTTTTAAAAATCCAACACAAGTTTTCCTTTCTGTCTAAATGTACTTCTATTCTGTTTACACTTCAGATAACCAATTCATCAGCTATTTTTTGGAGCAATACAATCAGTTCCTTCGAGGTTTTTTTACATGCATATAACTGTGTATTCCATGTATTGTTTTGTTTTCAATCAACTGTGATTTTAAGCAGGATCTGTTTCCTCTATGTTTCTATTTGCTGCTAATGTTGATATTTATATCTTCATGTGTACATTATTGTGCTTGTGTCTGGCTGTTTGTGTGTAGGTATTTTTCTGTGTGTTTCTTATTCCATGGCGTCTTACAAATGTCAATGATTGTTGTGGCTCGAAATATAAAGCTGTTCGAATATAGTGAAAATAAGACAGTGGATAGTGTTGGTTGTTTTTTTCAGTTTCTTTTGCTTTCCTCTAATTATTTTAATTAACCCTGAGATTACCTCAGTATAAATACAAGTATTTTTTGAAAGAACCATTTAGAAATCAAACTTTAATATTGTGCGCGTGTATATCATTGAAATGCACCTTTTTATATGATATATATATATATATATATAATATGATAGAAATATACGTTATGTTATATTATTGGTTGAATAACTTTGGGTGGATATATTTTCCTCATGTATTGCTTAATTCAGCTGTTGATATGTAAACTGATGTATTCTTGCAAACAACTTTAATCGCAGGCGAGAAAAAACAGCTTTTAAGGAAATTTGTTAAATAGTGAATGTTATTGCTTCACGAATTTCGAAAATGAAGTGATTCTGAAATATTATTCCTTAGTGTAGTTTCGTAGGGATTAGTGTTATTAGTTTCATTGTTAAGCTAGCACTTACAGTCACTATTTCATCATTATTGGATCGTATGTGTGTCTCTTATATGCCTTAAGGAAACTAGTACAGTTTTTTAATTATCATGACTAAGTGAAATGTTGGTGATGCGATTAGCTGTGGCCAATGATATCCAGCACGTGACTGCGTTATTCAGATATATTTGGGTTATTATATCTATATTTTATTCGTCGGTGGTATGGAGTTCGATCCCCTGCCGACGCTCTCCTAAACTTTGCTTAACCAGTAGTAAGTCCGAAAAGGAAGGAAGTGTGGGGGTGAGTCTAACAATCCCAGTCCGTAAAAGATAAACACCACTGTCACTGAAACTTTGAAGCTCAAGCTTAAAGTCTTATATTCTACTCGGTATGCAAAAGAATAAAAATAGAAATTCTAGCTGGTTTCTACACTGTTAGGCCACCTATCATTAGTTTACAGTTTACGAAGCTAGAAAAAAGAGCCTAGATATAACGCTGACATCCAATTCGATATGTTTATTGCTCAGCTTCTGAAATAGTCTTTTCAATCACTGAAGAAATGTGGTTGGTGGGATCGCGTTTAACGTCATCCTAATATCTCACCTTCTATATCTGAAATGCTTGAAAGCATACCTGATACCACCAGCCTATTACTCTAAACACTCGTGAGTATTATTGTATTATACATAACATACAAAGCAGACACATGATCATGATTGAAAATTTAGGGACGCTTTTTGAAATTGCAATTCACTTTACAAAGAATTACAGATGTTCTTAGGATATTTCGCTCACAGCCATTTCTAGAATAATTGAATAAGGGAAAAAATAACTGAGTTTAATTGAAGACTCAAAAGTCTAGTATTGTATTTTATCGTAGAAGGAAGGTTGATGTAAGATAATAATAATAATAACAAATGGAAAGAGTTGAAATCGTCGAGAGTGGTTAACTATCTACAGTCAGAATGATGACATAGTTTATAGAAGTGTAACCAAAGGTTTGACTGGAACAGCCAGAGGCTGTGTCTATGTCTGGTGGTAAGAAAGCGTGCTTCACTGATCAAAAATGTGTATTCAAATTGACGCAGTCGCGTAAGCGCTTAAGGATGGTGATCATCTGATTCAACAATAATCGGAGATTCACACTGTCGATATACAATGCTACCATCTTTATTTGACTTTTATTATGAATGTACCGAAGTTGAGTGCGTATGACTTTGTCATGTAATGGATTGACATTTTACTATGGTAAGTTTTCAGCCGATATATTGGTCTGCTCAGTCTATTCTGACTCCTGATTTAGCAATAAGTGATGAAATGGTCAATTATTTGGGGAATCGCATCAGTTGTAGGATCTTGTTGCTGACACGTTCTCAGCACAGCTAAAAAACTGTTTAATCCCTGTATACTTCTTCGTAAGTTTCTTAATGAAACAAATCAAAATTCTTCATTCCTTAATATCAATACTATGTTTCTCCGAATCATTCTACAATACGTCTTTGTTCGTCATAGTATCATGATAAGGTTATATGGATTTGTCAATCATCCAAAGCATTTGCAGATGAGTTGGGAAAATTAAAGTAAAAGATAGTATTGTTGCGAAGGAAATACTTTAAAACAGAAAAAAAGGTTATTTTTCTGCAGGCGAAAATTCAGGAATTACGTATGTATATATATCCCTGGGCAATACGTCAATGGTCTTATCAATTGCCCATGGTCATTTTACACTTTGTTAGTTTGATTTATTCACCACTGTGCTTATTTTCAATATCTGAAATTTCTATTTCTTCCAGATGGTGCATCACTACTGGTCTTACTTAAACTCATGAGCTTTTTGAGTGCATTATGTGAATAAAATCATTCGTGTTTACATGTATGAGGTTTATGAGAATTTCAAGGTAAAATTCACCAGCAGTCGACAACAGACAGGGAGTCAAGTAGTTGTTAGCGTCTTTTCCTTTCTGCCTTTAGACTGTCGAGGAGTCTAAGTTCACTAGTTAATTACGCTGTAAACCTGAGAAACCCAGGTTTTGAAGTAACCTCTACTAATAGGTTTTTAGTTTCAAGAAAAAATTTCCCGAAGTTGCAATAAGAAGGGATGAACAATCGAGTTTATTATTTTGGGTGTAACAACAGTTGGCGACAAATGAAAGGCGGGTGGGTCAGGAAGAGGCTTTTGCTTAAATTAGCGTAGTGTTAATCATAGGCAGCTGAATTTCGATCCAGTACCCGAATATCACCTGAAAATATTAACCAAAATAAAATGACGAACCCTCCTCAGTTTCACTAGTTCTCCAGTTGCTGGTGGTTTTCGACACAGTCTGCCATGAGGTTCCTAGTATCTTTATGCATAAATGAGCGTCAGATGCTGCTCTGTTTAAAAGGTCCACTTGGTGATCTTTTTAAAGCGTGAATTACAACTTCAAAATCAGCCAGGTATATCAATTCCTCTTCCTCGCTGTAAGACATCTATTACGTTTCTTCTGCGATACTTATATTCAAGAGGCTGATTGCCTGAAAAAAACTCAGTTAACACAAATAAAGCAGATGAAGAAGGATAATACGTTATCAGTCTATTCTACTGGTCAGCATCACCACAGAACGTAAATTTATTCTAGATATTATATTTTTAATGATGACCAGTCAAGTTAGTACATTCCATTCTATGTAGAAACAGCTAATCGAATGAGTGTCTCCAGCGAGGTTGAAACACAACACCTGTCGTTTCTAACCATAATGAGGCATGAGAAGTAGTTTTTTTCTGTTATTTGAATATGAAAATGCACAAAAATCGTCACTATAATTTAGTAAACTTAAAAGAAAATGTTAATGCGTCGGTGGCACAGCGGTAGAATGCTCGCCGACCACTCATGTGGTCTGGGTTTCAATCTCTGGCCGATGCACCCGCTTTACCTTGCTAAGCCAATGATAAAGCTGGTAAAGAGGAAAGGTTGGGCATGAGTCTAGCAACCCCATCCTGTAAAAATAAACACTGCTACAGAAACTTCAAGTCTCTAGCCTGAAGCCCCATATTCCACTGGGAACGTGAAGGAATGGAAAAAAACAGAAAATGTACAAGGAGTATTGTTGACCAGGTTATTTGTGTTTAGGGCGAAATGAACATTTTAGGCTGAAATAAGTATTTTTAGACATTAAATATGAGTTATGGTTTCCCAGGCTTATAAAAACAAAGATTTCATACTGCTTAAGAGTAAAGGAAGTAGGAAGATTGATAGAAGCTAAAAATAACAAAATTAATAGACGTTAAACAAAAAGTCAGGAGTATGAAGGACCCAAAACTGTAATTTTTAAAAAGTACTTAGGAGAATTAATTATACTTGAACATTTCATATATTGTTTCATGGAAGGTATGTTGGTATTTTGCAATATCGTTATTGTGTACGAATTAAGCAACCTCTAACCAAAGCTTATTCACTGGATATCAAAATCTGTATAACTATTCCTCCTACATGAATCACACTACTTTGTTTTGAACGCTTAATAACTCTAAGTTCACAACAATGACATCAGAATATTGCTTTATGGAAATTATGCGCATATCTATCTGGAGAATGTTCACCAAATCCTAGTATCCTTGGCTCTTTGCTCACTATTTCTAATTGAAGGGAATGTGACAGTTTAACAAAATAAATTGCTTGAAAATTTCTTGTTTAACAATTATTATTTTTTAAAACAAATGATGAATAATCTCTGTTACCATTATTATTCGATCCTTGTATTCTCAGTGGAACATCTAGATTTCACTCGATTCTTTGCTGTCATTTTCAGTTGACTCAAAGAATATCGAAAAGCTTTCATTTCCTCTTCACATGGTCTCTTCACATCATTCATGGATACCCAACTCATCATTATCCACTCTAGTTGAGTTCGAGGACCTAGGGTATGATATCATTTAAAGGTCTCCCTAGCGTATGTTCAATCCATCTGCACTTCTTTCTGCATGCCTGCTGGGCGAAAGATGAGCGTTTGATTCGCTGTCTTGTTGGGTATCCTTTCTCGCCAACCAGGGCACTGATCTTCAATGTTGAGAAAAGGCAGCTATTGTTTGGTGAACGTCTGCAGCAGGCTGATGCGGATGCTTTTCGGGACGCCCACACTAAAGCTTTGATCCAATATAAAAGTATTTTCATTTCTTTCTGCATATTTTCGAGTAACAGTCTTTTGGCTTGCTTGGTGTTACTTACTATTTCTTACCATTCGATTTTCAACATCGAAAGAAGGAAGATATTAATAATGTGTAGCCTGATGGAAATACATGTGGTGACGCGTCAATTATCTGAACCGCACAAAAGCACTGAATTGACATCAGCGTTGAAAATTCGGATCTTGTTCTTTTGTTGTGTGCCGTAGATCTCCACAATGACTTGAGAGTTATGAACACCTCTCTTGCTTTCCCCAATCGATCTTGGATGGCTTTTACGGCTTTATCCGTGCCACATCCTATGGTTTTTCTAGACGATTCTACTGAGGTAAGTGACACAGACGACTTCCCTCAAATTCCCCCTATTGGCAGTGGTTGGCGCTTGTTGTTGTTGGTTGGTTATCTTCACTGCCGTCCTCCCTATGTTCACCTGAAGTCTTGTCTTCGCTGTCTGAGTATTCCACAGATTTGCTGGCTCTCACATGTACGTCTTCGAATTTATATCACATTAGAGATAGATCATCTACGAAATTCAGATTTTCTAGAGTCTTCT